GGGGGAGATCGACGAGGATGTCACATACCGTATTCGGGTAGGATGGATGAAGTGGAGGTTAGCATTTGGAGTTCTGTGTGACAAGAGAGTGCCACCGATACTCAAAGGTAAGCTCTATAAAGCGGTGGTTAGATCGGCCATGATGTACGGGGCTGAATGTTGGCCTGTTAAGAACTCACATATCCAGAAGATGAAAGTGGCAAAAATAAGGATGTTGAGGTAGATGTGCGGGCATACTAGGATGGATAAGATTAGAAATGATGATATTCGGAAGAAGGTGCGCGTGGCTCCCATTGATGACAAGATGCGGGAAGCGAAGCTCAGATGGCTCGGGCATGTATAGAGTAGAATCCCAGATGCTCCGGTAAGGAGGTGTGAGCGGCTGATTGTGGAGGGAATGAGAAGAGGTAAAGTGCGGCCTAAGAAGTATTGGGGAGAGGTGATCAGGCAGGACATGGTGAGGCTTCAGATATCCGAGGACATGGCACTTGATAGTAAGATGTGAAGGTCGAGTATTAAGGTTGTAGGTTAGGAGGTAGTTGAGTCTTGCCTTACTTCGTACCGTTGTTAGACTAGTCTGGTAGGGTTTTTGTCTAAGATAGCTAGTGGCAATATCGCGTCTTATTATTTCGCTTTTCAGTGCCGGACCTATTTACTAGCTATCGCTTTTGCTTTGCATTTTTCTTCTGGATCACATGATATTCCTATTTTTCTTTTGATTTTTGTGGTGATACCGATATTGTCTCCTTTTGTCTTTTTGTCCTCTTGAGCCGAGGGTCTTTCTGAAACAGCCTCTCTACCCTTTGGGGTAGGGGTAAGGTCTGCATACACACTACCCTCCCCACACCCCACTAGTGGGATTTCACTGGGTCGTTGTTGTTGTTGTAAGCAAAGTGGCATCCATATGCCACAAACAACCAAAACAGTACGTTCACTACTTGTCGGTTATCACCGCATAAGACACATAAATATGATCATTGTTCAAACCTTGAACTACCAGATGCCAGAATATCTTCACGTGGATGTAGCTTGTTCACCGGACTAATAGTTGTTATGTTTGGGTCCATGACCTCGGCAACCAACTGCCCAGTACTGATGTTGATAAAGTCAATGGGATGCAAAGCAGCTCCATCATAATTTTCACTAATGTATCGCCCGATGACAACAAGAGACTCTGATGAGTCCTGCACAAAGTAATATTCATTGATATAGACCTGCTCCACTTTTTCTACTTTGAAATCAATCAGGAATTAAATGGTGAATTCTGCAATTATCAAATTAGTTCTGCACATGCTTACCTTTGGATCCCATTCTGCTCGGAATGCTGTAAGATATCGGTTAAAATCGTGACTGTGAACAATTTCTCGGCTTGGATAATCAAGGTTGCCAAAAATTGAATCCCACACACGGATCCGATTATCCAGCGAAGTAGTAAGTATTTTGCTGCCACTTTGTGGAGAAAAATATGCAGAACTAACAACACGTTTATGTTCAAGATTATAAAGAGAAGACCCAGCTTCCAAGCGGCGCATATCCCATATTCGAGCCTGTGGCAACAAAATATTTCACTTGATAAAAAGTATCACCACTGATTTAACGCATATAAAGAAGGAAAAGAGGTATTTTCTGCAACAAGCTCTTATGCTATTTACACGACTCAAAAATGAAAATCAAGTGCCAGATCATATAGACTGATCAAGTAAATGGAACTTACAAAGTGATCATTCCCACAGCTCAGAAATAGATCTGGTTGAAGAGGATTGCAGTTTAGACCAACAACTTTAGTTCCTTTCTTGTGAATCAAAGTAGGTTTGCTTATTATGTTATTGCTCCGCATATCAGCCCTGTACATGTGCACCAAATAAAAACAAATGCAACCAAATACAAAACCATAATGGGATCAAACACATAAAAAGATGGTGTAGGTAGTGGAATACAGTCAACAGCAAAGTCTGTTCTTGCTTTGACAAGCAATGTTGTAGGAAATGGAACAGAAGTTCCATCAATTAGAATCTTTCTTCGAAGCTACCAACTCTCCTCAAACATTTCTACTTTCAATCCTCTAGGCTGAAATTTTACTTAGTCTTCCAGTAAATGTTTTCAAAGTTCAATTGCAAACAATATGCAACTGAAAGATAACAAATTACTTTTGCCAAAGGGCTTGGAATTAAAAGATGAACCACACTGTGCAGATATTCCATGTAAAGGATTCAACACTCAATAGAAGTCTATACATACGAATTTAGCTTAAAACTTGACGTGTCTTATAGCAACCATTTATCTGTAGTTGTTGGTCATTTTAAATACTACTTAATTATTCTATAATATTCACATGAACTGAAAGGACACGACTCTTGATAGGATGGTATGGAGGCCGAGGATTAGGGTATAAGGTTAATAGGTAGTCGAGTATCTCCCTTTGTCTTCCTCAGTTCGTAGCATTAGTGTTAGTTTGTTATCCATTTATTCTTAGATTGCTATTACTACCGTTTATTTGCTACCTTGGTTTCGGTCCTCTTTTTATCTTATTGTTGTTTATACTTGTTGCCACTGCTTTTTATCTTTTCTTTAGCCGAGGGTCTTTCGGAAATAGCCTCTCTGCCTTCCAGGGTAGGGGTAAGGCTGCGTACATCTCACTCTCCCTAGACCCCACTTGTGGAATTCATTGGATTTTTTGTTGTTGTTGTTGTTGTTGTCACATGAACTGAAAATAACTCAGTTCAGAAAGCAACATTCAGCAAAAAAGAAGTGCGGCATTATCATCTTTACCCCATAAGAAAACCTTATCTTTTATCCAG